TTGTGCTCTCCAGTACATCGTGCATTCCTTGATCAAGCCAAGGCCTGATCTTTGGAAACATGGCGGGCATTTTACATTACAATCTAGCACTTACGACTAACATAGCTGGACATTTTGAAGAGTTGACAGATACACCAAAATCAAGTGCTGAAATAACTCGTACTTTTCACTTGCATGTCCCCTGGCTACTGCTAAATTATAAAAGAATTTATTTTTTTATGTGATCTTGTGAAGTAAAGAATTTGAATTTAATTCAATGTCCTAATGGTCAACTACAATTCTACGAGTGAGAGAAATTAAGACGAGTACGACGATTTTTGCTTGTAAAGCATTTTTTTAAAAATAATATGCAAAATACGTTTCATAGATAATGCAAATAATTGAACTTTATATAATATGAAAAGAAAATTAACATAATCAATATAAATGTTAATAAAGAAATATACAGCTTCGTTAGATTTTTGTTGAAAATTTATAGAAACAAAAAGTGCTGACATAACTTTTTTGCTTAAAACAACAAACTGACCGATCAAATGAGCTAACATGGAAATTAATAATAGCGATGGCCTCATATATGTATGTTATCGTAGCAGAAAGTCGTTTGCGTTATTCGCAAATGACGTAACTTAGCAAAGTTCGATATAATGACATTGCCTTTCGGAAATTGCTTTAAGTCTACTGCGGCTACGTTTGTATTTTTAATATGTTTGTATCTTATATCCACGGAAATTCAACAGTACATATAGGTAAATAAAATCTGGTAAGCGATTTATTTGGCTAGAAATATTATTTTTTATTTATACTGAACATTTGTTTAATAGAAAGTTATATATTAACACAACATTAAATATTTCTCTAAACATGGATTTTAAGTAAAATTCGTATGACTTGATGATTCGAATGACTTTTGAAAAAATGTTGAATAATATATATCTAAATATGTATATATAACTCATAAAAAATTGTAAATGATTATCACTTTACCTGTCACATCCCTTCATGCATAATTATACAGAAAAAGAAGACAATATAAAACGGGTGTGTTATTGTAAAATAATTAAAGACTAGCGCTCTCTGAGGGTTTCCGTTTTACGGGAAAAGATTACAGGGCTCTGAAAAAACACTCCCTTGTAATATGCTGTATCTTTCATTTTCAGGAAGAAATGCAGTGATACTATTGCCTACCACAATGGTAAAAAATAAAATTAATATTCCATCCTACATTTAATGCCTCGGTAATCTGACGTCTACTCTAAAAATTAAACTGACAAATTAGAATAATTTTGGTTATCTAATCGGTCATCTAATGAGCTAGGTCCGGATAATAAATATTTCAATTGATTTTAGATCTTGTTATGAAGATCTTGTTATATGGACTAAAAGTGGTCTTGCCCCGCCGTCTTTGATTTAGTTTAATAAGTAAAAACTAATATTAGCTTACAAAATTATTTCCGAAGGACTCTTAAAATTACATAAGAACTTTATCTTATATTATCCGGCTATGAGGAATGTTTGTATAATCGATTAAAAAAGCTCACTGTCAGCATTTATGTTAACACGTTTTCAATTTTTTTACCTACTTCAATAGGAGGAGGTTATCAATTAGAATGTTTATATGTTTTGTTACGTATGTTCGGGCATAACTCCGTCATATATAGACATATTTGCAATATTCTTTTTTTGTTCGAAAGTGGTTTATTCCAAAATGGTCCCATTTAAATCTCATGTAAATCTGAGGATTAGTTTCGGACATTCGTAATCTTTATAAATAAACTTCTACTCCCATTTGGAATGTGTAGAGATTTTCTTCCCTTATTTGCTTTTAATCATCAGTGTTTTGGCTAGATCTAATCATATTTTATAATACCTAAGTGTAAAACCATTAAAAATAAAATATTTTTTTAATTAAAAAAAGAAACGATTTCTAAAACTCTATTAGTACTGAAAAGTATTAAATTTTATTAAGCTAAAATTTTTGTACCCCTTTTTACAAAAATTGCACGGACGTAGGTGTATAATGTTTTTCACACTTATAGTTTATATAGAGAAGGAGTGCAGAATGCTAATACTTTTTTAAATTATGCATAAAAACACATTAATTCAATAAAAAATATTACGCACACTACGGTGTATAATTAATTATGGTGGAATTTCGGTCTCTGGACGAATACTAGTAATATTTAATCTTATATAGGTAATCAAATCTTAAACATATAACCTAACTTACCTCACCTCAAACAAAATTTAACAATATTTGGAGTCGGTGCCATTGTACAAGTATTATTTTAAACTTTTTAGTGGTAATAAGCTTTTTCAAGTCGTTTCTTTTTTTGTTAAAAAACTTTTTATATAACACATCTTTTCCTATTGAAAATTAAGACGTATTTAGTAAGGACTTTGAATGTGGTCTGTGTGCAAGAGATAAATAAAGCTGTATTTCTTAACATATCTGACGTGAATACGATAAAGCATCAATATTTAATTATCATTATGTAAATAAGATTTAATATTTTTAACTCGTCTTTCGTCAGAAGTACTTAATCAAACAAGAAATTTAACGTGAATATGACTATATACATCACACGCAGTAGATACAAGCAATTACACTTTGAAAGTCATTTACAACTGTGGTTCAATTCCACGTAGAGGAAAATTAACTTGCTTATGTGCGTTATATGTATTCATACGTTTGAGAATAATTAAGAAGGAGCCGTATGAGACTTTGAGGAGAAATAATTTAACGATTTTCCGACATGTTAATTATTTTGATGTTTTGTTATCAAAATTAACACTTATATAGTATTTATCATCGTCCAGATTTTTTTTCCATGTTGTGTCTTAAATTTCATTTAAGATATAATGTATGCTCTAATGTAGCTTATGTAGAGATATCAGATTTTAATCAAATAAATAATTGAATTTCAACTACGTCCTTTTCCTTTTCTCATTGATTATTTTTTCATTTACTCAATATCCTGTATAGTGAAATGCTACGCAAGTCTAACGTGTTGTATGTAATAATAGTTTAAAAGATTTTAAAGGGATTGAAACAAATAAGTAAATAAAGATCGAAAATAAAACCGGGGGCCGACGGACCGTAATTATAACTATCGGTATCAGTTTCATTTATTACAATTTTCACTAAACGCCACAGTCGTGATAACAAAAACTCTGATGCTGAGTATAGTCATAGTATAGATATAGATGAGTAGTATATACAGATAACAATTTTAATTAATTTTCCAAAGCTCATCACAGCTAACCACTTATTATCAATATTTATTTTCATAAGCCAATAAATTAAATTCAATATGGCACATTTAGGAATAGATAAAATAACAGAAATATATTGAGATCATGAAAATAAAAAATAACTACGATCACTTTATGTCATTTTGCTACTTTTATCCAACTATCATGCTGTAGATGCTCCGGTTCGAACAGCCAGTTTAGTGGTTTAGTTTTACGCAGTCGCTTAACCATAGTTGTCGATGCCGTGGATGATTCAATACCCGCCGGGACAGCATTTGTATGTTTAATTAGTAATCGTTCCGGATCTATACGAGTACCTTGGCCTAGACCAGTGCCGGATTAGCCACGTAGCAAGAGTAACCTATGCTACGGGCCCCGCGTCAAAGGTGGCCCCGCATATATTAACCCACTCATGTCTGCCTGAGCCTTAAATTTTTGAGTGAAACTTATTAAATAAGTTTTCTACAAATTTTAACTATTAAATAAGTAAGAGTATTGAATTGCTTTTTTTTCCAATTTATACTTAGGATAGGAACCCATAACAGATTAAGGGCTGTTTGAAAGAATTTGCTCCCCCCCGCGAGCCCCGCGTTTCTTTAATCCGGAACTGGACTAGGCACACGTAGGTTGGAAATCTCCCTCACATCATGGCGTAGATATGCTCGACACAAAAGACCGACTTAAAGTAGTTGTATTTGTACTCTTACATTTCGTCTTTTACACGAAATAACCGGGGCCCTCTTTTTAACTGCGAAAGTACAAAAGTAATTACTTAACATCATCCAAACTGCCAGCTAATTCTATTGATTTGGAAAAAAGAAATCTGTCTTCTACAACAATATCTATCGTATTGGTTGCACCATACTTAGGATCAAATTCCATGTTGCCCTAAATGTCACTATGGCACATAGGCGTACATTTAAGAGTTTCGGTCTTTTATTATGAATTACTTACATGTATTTTCCGCTTTTATTTTAATCTAGATTACTATAAAAGTTTAGAAATAGAATGCATTTTTACATGAGATTTAAATCTCTAAGGAAAAAAAAATTACATTTAATAATAACTAAGAAAGAAAGTGTAAATTGCCATGATACTTTTTCTTTGTGAAGCTCTTAGGATACAATCAGTACAAAATGAAATCCAAAGCCGTTTCATCAGGGAGATTGGATTGCCTTTTTAAGTCTTCCAATTGTTAAGACAATGCGGCTATGGATATAGTGTGCAGATATTTTATTTATAGCCTTGGTCTCTTTCATATTCTTTTATCAAAGCTAGTGAATAGAAACGCACTGATTATGCATGGACAAGAATGCTACTAAATATTTCTAGTCGGATCGACTCAAGATTTGTTTTCTCACCATCTGCTGAAGGTGGAGCAAAATTATTGCTTTCAAACGGGAACATTAAACGTTGATACTGCGAACAGATGCGAAATCAAGTCAGTCAGCTGAAATTGTTTACTGACTGACTGCGTGCGTTTGAATTTGCCCGTGCCAAATGATCGTGCGGTAAATGATTGAATCTTTGTTAACATTATATTTGTCATGAAAATAATTTACGGTTTTTTAGTACTAATTAAATGATTTTGGTGATAAATAAACAGAGACATAATTTTGTAGAGAAAAACAGTACGATTGATGAAGCCGTGTTTCATATTGTTTTTTTGACTTTATACCGCGAAGACGATACGGTATGGTTTATTTTGGCGGCAAAATTTAATCGGTCTGCGTTGTCCTTTGTTGCAGTGAGTGTAAGCGTGGCGGCGACCGGCTGGCGACGCCGCGGATGTCGCTGCTGGGCAAACCGCTCAGCTACCGCGCCACGCGACGCGACGCGCGCTACAGACGCCTACAATCGAAGTTCTACAACTTCCTCGAAAGACCGAGGGGAGTGAAGGCCGTCCTCTATCATATGATCGTGTGAGTACCCCGGTATTAGACACTGACATTCTTCTTCTTCTTAAGATGTCACTCCAAGTAGTGAAAGTTAGCAAGCTTGTTTCTTGCAAGCCTTCTTTCTTTTATAAAAAAAAAAAAAAAAAAAGAATTAGAAAAAATATTCGCGGAACAGCTCAGATATTGAACTGATACTGAACACCTTAGCTAACTAACTAATCGAGGTCGATTTTTAGCTCCGTAATAAGTTACAGGTTGCGATTGTTAGAAATTTTTGAACCTCTGCAACGTCTTGCTTCTAAATTAGACAAAATCTGTTTTTCTGTGTTTTATTCCTGTATTTAAAAACGATAAAATTGCGAAGTTGTTTTGCTTTCAATGTATGCTTATATGATGACAAGTTACACCTATATTACATAATTATTTTAATAACTGAAAGTAGAATTTAACTCCTACACAAATAATTGTTTTGCATTTATTATTTTGTGCCAATTTACGGCCGTTATTCTTAAAAAAAAACTTGTCAGGTTACGTAAGCGTCACACATCACGCCGGTACTCAGTGACAATGCAGACGCCGACACTTAATGCGATCAGTGCTGATATTTATATGAATACTGTAAAATGGTAAATTCATTTATTACTCCGTTTGTATTGGGTTAATCCCCGGAATTACTTAATCGCTATAAAAGTATCTATTAATATATAGTGAATAACAAAGAGTACGTATTAAATAATTTCTAGTTCATACGTGAATACATTAATTTTGGTAAATTTATTCTGTTACGGGACCTATAACTTAAGAAATAAACGGTTTCCACCTAATATCGATGACTGACTGTTAATGTAAGTTTTTTAGAAATGTGAAATTTTCATAACACAGCTACATTTGCTCGATTGCGAAAATCATTCATCATATAATATTATGTATATTAAGTAGACCTTAAATTGGAGTGTGAGTAATAGTGTTTCTTTATAGAAGAGATCGGCCAGTTGTATACGAGTATAATACGGAAAATTCAACGTAACAGTGCGAAGCCGTGGCAGTCCATCTAATTAAATAAAAATAACTATAAAATCAAGCGTGTAATCGGGCGCTCTCTGCTTACCAGGTTTCTCATGGTGTTCATGTGTTTGTCACTGTCGGTGTTCTCAACGATCGAAGAATACGAGGCAAAAGCGGGCATCGTGCTGTTCTACATGGAAACTGTAGTTGTCGTCTGGTTCGCTATTGAGTTCGTTCTAAGGTACGTTAAATATATGGAACGTCGTCATAATGGCACCACCGATATGTAATATATCGTGTGATGGCTAACATGTCCTCCCATGATATATCTGTTTACCAAGACCTAACACAGTACATTTAGTATTACACGTATCATTTTTATGGATATGATACTAGACAAACACTATTCAATTAAGGTTATATAGTTATAACTTCTGTGTTTTTCTAGGAGACGTTATATATAAGATACTGATATATGATAAAAATGTAACATCAAAATAATAATACAAAAGAGGCGTTTCACTTTTGTACGGGACTCTGGCCATAACTTGTGCTCTTCAGGAAACTTTTCGAAATGAACTCATAAATAAATTTCACTTAAAATATGATATTTTAGAATATTGCATGAATTATTATAACATCTAGATTAGATGATCAATTCGGTCGACGCCATATGTATATATATATATATATATATATATATATATATATATATATATACATGATAAAAGCATAAATTATTTTACTGTAAATGTAATGTACTGTACTTCCATACATTCATTTCTAATTTGCACTTATGTTTTTGATGTACAATAAATAAATAAATATATAAATATATTGTTACACAAGTAGATATTTAAGCAAGCATCTACAGTACCTACCAAATACCGCAGAAACATCAAACGTCTAAATGAAATGTCAATGAACGTTTAATTACCGTTTCAAAATACTATCCATAAGACACGAAAAGGCAATATAGATACATATTATATACGTAACGTTTATGAACATTAACACACACGTGATTCTGGTGTGGTTGTGTTTTCCGAAGGTAAATGGCTTACTGACATGTCAGCCATTTTGGATCGACAATTTCGAAAAAATATATTAAAGCTCATTTAAAAAAGCTTTGAATTCTAAATCACAAAATATTATTTTTCCACGACTTCTGATTTTTTTTTTCATATTTTGGACATGGTACTGTAGTACTATAGTTAATAGTCGAAAATGAAGTATCCCATTTGCATATTTATATCAAACTACACAAAAGGTAAAATTAACAATATGTAAATGATTACGAGTACCGATGGATTATTCTACGCTTTCTGTGAAGTGTGCCTTTAAATGATTTCTTAAGCATATTATTAGGTGTGGGGCGCTTAATTTGTTTTATTTAGCAACAAATTATTTTGCATTATTTCAGGCGAAAATTACGTAATTATGGAAATGAGGCACATAACTTTTTGCGTGTCAAATAATTCGGAGCTACAGACGGATTGTTCAGCCTTTGCGTAAAGTACTTTTTGTCCTACTTTGGTTGAGAGAATGTCACGAGCTAACACAGTTATACGTGTAACTTGAAAACCGCCTTTGCATAAAGGCCGAATTGTGGCATATACAATTTAATTATGTATGCTACAAGTTGGCGTGTTTAGTACGAGTATAACTTGCAATGCTCAAGGGAGACTAGTAAACTACAGAAACAATTGAACATTAATAAGGTGCCTATTCTCTTGGGTTAACTGTTTTCATACGCACGCGTAATTTTTAATATCAACATTTTAATCTACACCTGTGTGTGTCCTTTTCCCTATAGGCTTTGGTCATCAGGATGCAGGTCTCGTTATCAAGGATCCATAGGGCGTCTAAAGTTCTTGAAGCGGCCATTTTGTATAATAGGTAAGTAATAATTGATGTAAAGTATATTCTTATACAAGTAGTTCTCTAGCAGAATTGTTTGAAACAATCCTACATGCATAGACATAGCTTTTAATGCGCCACTTGAAAAAAGTCAGAGTCACCTCTATTTCTTGAACCACGGCGTAGCGACCTTATTTCAGGTGCGACCAATCTGATGCGACCTTCGCATTTCAGTGCCCTCCCCCTAAGCACCAGTTTCGTGCGGCGCAAACTCACTCTCTAGGGAGCCGACCGGCGACCCGTCCTGAGACAGAACTAGGCGACAAACATAGCCACACGTTTCTGCCACTCGACTTTATTACTACAGTACTTCTACCGCGGCTATCTCAGATGTCTACATTTTTTAGGACGTAAATATTTTCTACCTAAATATATTACTCAACAACTTCTAAATAATAAAAAACACACTCGTTCCGTATCCGGAACGAGGGTTTTTATTTAATATATGTACTACATGTTTTATAATAGAAAAATAACATATTAATGTTATTTTACATATTTTGCTTTTAGCTTTGAAGTAACAAGTGGTTTCAAATAACAAGTTAATAGGTTATTCTTACTTTACTGACAAATAAAATTAATTAGTTATCTTTAGAGATAATAATATGCCAATATAGCTTAACAATATTATTAAATATTTAAAAATAAGTAAACTTATAAACCTATATTTAAACATAGAGGCATATGTAGGTTGTCAATGAAGTATCACCTATATAATATTTAGGAATATGAATATTTTATCGAGTCTCCTTAATAATTAAATAACATTACTTGAAGAAAGGGAAAATGAATTCTAAATGCATGTTTTGAATCCGATATAATATGAAAATAAATAACATTAAAAGATGAAATGGTTGCCCAATTATCTGACACAATGACAATACAATGATTCTATTATCCTATTTGTCAATATTCCTTGTAATAAAATTTTAAAAAAACATATTCCGATATTACTGTGTCTGATTGTTGTGTTTACTACTACTTACAGTGTCTGCATTAAAAAAATATCATACTATATGTTTCATTCCGTGTAACAACAATATTTAATTCCGTTTGATGGGTAATAGTTATGTAGCAAGATTCAATATGCGTAAAACGCGAAGTCTTGTAGTAAATACTTAATAAATATAACTGCTAACAATGCAATAAGGAAACTAGACTGATATCGAGATTTTCGCGTCATGAGGTCAGTGGCCCCGTAGCTTAGTAGCTAAAACATCTTGGCGCATTACCTGGAAGAAGCAAGTTTGAATCCCTCAGTGCCGAAACCTTTTGATCGTTTATCTATAAAAATTCTCATTTTAAGTTCCGGAGAGACTATCACTAAAAATTAACAATAAAATGAAATATGTTAATAAATAATCTATAGCTAGTGTTATTATTTCTTAGATGTGACAACAATAATGGCGTCTTTAGTGGTGTTGGGTATGGGCTCGTCCGGGCAAGTCTTCGCAGCCTCGGCGCTTCGTGGCTTAAGGTTTTTCCAAATACTGCGTATGGTGCGAATGGACCGTCGGGGCGGCACATGGAAACTACTCGGCTCCGTCGTGTATGCACATCGGCAGGTGAACTTACAACCAATTTCACAAAACTGCTTTATAAATAGTACTCGAACCAAGCATGTGCTCCACGGTGAAGATCAAAACATTCCCTATTTTTAGATGTTATTGTTGCCCTGAAATATAATGACCAGACGTTTTCCAATGTTTGGACATAGTAAATTCATAATACGGCAACATTGCCCTAATATATTAACCGAGAAGCAGATGTGTTGAGAGCACTGGAAAGAGTTTTTTTTTTCTAAAGTTAACAGGAAATACACCTGCGGAAAGATTAATTATTAAAATGGAAACATCGTACGTAAGCTAACCGTTTTGAAAGTAATTTAAAACAGGTGCACGATGGAAAATAATTTATGAAGTTTAGTGGATACACTCAGATTGTTTACTAGTTAGTAGTGGAAAACGAAAACATAGCTATTAAAGCTCATCGTACGATTCACGTACATAATGTTGTTTGAACAGTTGATTTATTTAGTTCATAATGTTACAAGATATAATGATATTAACGAAATTGCCAAATAGCATTACAAGCTGTTGAATTGTCGTCGATTTAAGTTTGCCTAGCAATTGTATAAGCGATGAGAAAGCAGAACGGAACTGGTGGCAATTTCCTGCGTCTGCCAAGTAGGTCGATATAAACACAACAAGCCGCGTCTCAATATCCACTCACAATTGGTTCAGGTTAAACTTGCATAATCACATTCCTGAACGAATAAGACGGCGCCCCACTCCGCATTTCTCGCCTTTCTTGCAATATTGACTCAGCAAATAGGCTCCGTACCCAATGATACTTTAAGCGGAGCGTTGAAAGAACCTTCGTAATATCTCGCTTCTTCATGTCAATATGAGGAAAAATAACAAACATATAGAAAAAATCTTATTGCCATTGAAGTACCTTGTTTCACAATGATTTATATGAATAACTATGATTCTAAATAAAACCTGACCACTGCTAATTAAAGCTCAAAATGAATGATTTATTCAATAATAAATTTAATATAATAGATTTTATATATATTTATTATTGTACGATTTTAACGTTGCAATTAGTAAATGCCCTAAATTATTTATTGTACCTACAAAAATTAAAAAAAAACTTCCTGAGCTCTAGGCTGCAACAGGTGTAGATGAAAAGGTAGAGTACAAACACATTCTGGCGATTACAAATTCTATATTGCAGAGACTGAACGTCAGTGTTAGTAGCGTATCTAAAATAATGTAATTACATTACCAGTTCAAAACGACAAAGAGTAATAACTGTTATGTTTAGGTTAGAATCTGAATTTGCTATTGATACAGAATATTAAAAGTTGTTATTGTTTGAAAGATTCATGTTTTAAGATAGATTTCACAATTGAAAAAATGACTAATACTTTTTGTTCTGTTTCAGGAATTAATAACTACATTGTACATTGGATTCCTAGGGCTTATATTTGCGTCATTTTTAGTTTATTTAGCAGAAAAAGACGTCGCTGACACAAAATTTAAAAACTTTGCAGAAGCACTCTGGTGGGGCGTTGTAAGTATTTATAAAACTTTTATCATCAATTAATTAATCAATATCTATATAGCTTATACACAAAAGTTAATCAAGAATTGTGTTTTAACAAAAATTTCGTTTGTTTGGGTAATGTGTTTTATTACTTGTGTAATTTGCCACTCGGCGCTTCCATATACAGCAGCCTTGAAATGTCTCAGATCACGCTGTGCACGGTGGGATACGGCGACATGGTTCCACAAACCTGGCAAGGGAAATTCATCGCATCCTTCTGCGCGCTATTGGGGATATCGTTTTTCGCTCTACCCGCAGTGAGGACTACTTACAAACGCGATGCCTTAATTGTGTTACGACGGACACAGAAATTGATCTTTATTCCCTCTTCTTATGGCTAGGGTATTCTGGGATCTGGCTTCGCTCTCAAAGTTCAGCAGCAGCAACGGCAGAAGCACATGATAAGAAGACGACAACCCGCCGCAACCCTGATCCAAGCGCTATGGCGATGCTACGCTGCAGATGAACATTCTATGAGTGTGGCAACCTGGAAAATACATCAGATCCCGCTACCTAGCCCCCAAACAAGGTAACTTCTACATTTAGCTTTTTTTTTTTTCAAAAAATATGTCGGCTTTTGAATTCTGCTCCCAATTCAAACCAAAGAGTATTTTCGTAACAAAAATGTGGGCGATTCCTGCTTCGAAATAGGAGCTAGCCAATTACTAGAATCAAGGTTTTGATGTTGAATAGTTGCCAATATCGCGTGTCAGTAACGGAAACAAAAAAAACACCTTTTCTGCATGTCGTGAGTTACGTCAAATTTACAAGTATCAGGTTAAAATCTGATCCCCACAGACTTCTACGTACGTATTGTACGTGTATGTGTAATATACTTAGGTACTTCCGTACTGTATTCTTAAATCGTTATAAGTATTTTTCATGATTACTTAATCATATATCTTAAGTTTCGATGATTAGATCAATACATCTGCATAACGCATATTCTATTGAAAACAGCAAAACTGCACACAAACCTAACTCTTCTACAGAGGTGACAAATCGGAAAAAAATCCGGTGCAAAGCACGCTCGCCAAAAGCTTAAATGGAAAATGAATGACAAGCACGTATGTTTGACAGTCGGGTTATGAGCGCATCATTCAAGAACAATGCTTCCTTTGTGTCGCGGCTGCCGACAATCCGTCGGCACAAGAGTACGTCCCTACACTCCCCAGCGCCGCACTCCAAGCCCGCACACCGATACGATGTCAACGCGAGCGCTGAAAATCTCGGTAAGTTGAAAAAACACGAGGCTCATGCATTATTAAACCCGAACAAAAATGAAATGCATCAACACGAGACTAAACGACCATGACAATCTCCAACAATAGGTACGTCACAATGCAAAGTTATTTATGTTACGACGCATTAGATGTTATTACATTTTCATATAATACAAAATACAAGTCCCTTGACACAACCCGCGATGTTAATTTAGCAATAGATTGTTGTAGTTAGCTTTTTATGTGTTAATTGTAATTAGGTGGGTGTTGTGTGTTATGTGTTTTTTAGTAATGAATACCGGACTCTTGAAAGAAGATCATTTATTGACAACTATTTTAACAACACTCAAAAAATTTTCCTTAAACTAATTATTTAAAGGGACGAGAATCAGAACAATCAGAATGCAATTAGTTATTATGTAAAATTAGTTGAGTAAATAAACAAATACTATTAAAAAAAAATCTCTATGAGAATTGATTAAAGACGCGATCGCCATAACAAAAATATCTAAACAATACAGACGTTAGTGGAAAAGTTCCAATATCCGTCGCTACGTTTCAGAAGTACGACTACTCAAATGGCATAATTTCGAGTTAACGAACAAACACAAAAATAACAGTCTCCATCGCGGTAACAAGCCACATACACAGTGCTGTGAAATGTGAATGCTTTTTGGTAAAATGGAGCGTGATATGATATTGCACTGTTTCGTAGATAATCGTACATCGAGCGGGGACCATGCGTGTTGTCTACTCCATTGTTGGAAAAGCTGCTTTCAAGGTTCTATTCTTCATTTTTAAACGGCACTATGGCATGACAGTTACAGTCGATAAACTTTGCTGCGTTTCTTATTAATTCTTATTAGTAAATACTTTCCAGAAAAATGTGAATACACCAAAAGCGAATATGTTGACGTATTGCCATTGACCGGACTGATAATTCGACTTCCGGAGATGCTGGCTACGTCGTTTAGCTCCAGACACAATTGCTGATATTCTACCTACCTTCTACTTCCTTCTTTTTTATTTCACTTTATTAAATAAAAAGATGCACCCGCGTAGATGAGATACCGCTTAGATACAATTTAAAATACTGCAATCAGAAGCTTAAAATATCTTTAATTGAATTGAACAACGGCTTCTAAGTTTATAATCGCTTCGCGTAAGAGCTAAGGTAGAGATGAACAATTATAATATGGTTTTGTGAAGAATGAAAGACTATTCAGCGCAATTAGAGCGCGGTTCACACAATGAATTTCCAATTTATACAAGCCAACTAGTGTTCTTAATATTATTGGAATGGCTTCGTTTAAAGCTTGTATTTTGAAGTTCGGTTGCATTATCTCAAATCGAACGGTAAATACGATATTTACACTGCTTTGCATTTATCTATGCATGCCAGATAGTTGATAGGTATTTTGTAAAATATTGAGGTCCATTAATGAAATGGGTAGTTTCTTTACATCTAGGTTAATAATGTAGTATTTTATTCATATTTTTAATATACTCGACCCACTTATGCATATTGCATAGAAAATTGTCCAATAATATTCGTCCGCCCGCTTTGTCATCCCCGTCAATCTTGTTAATCGATTTGTGATGATATCGTCTTTAATAAAACTTTCTCGTAAGATATACCAGCATATTCTTATTTTCTTCGCAATCAAAATAATAAAAGCGAAACTCAATCGTACTAGGAGTCCCAATTAAGAAAATGAAGTAATTATTTTATAGCTAACATTAAAGGAGCATATAACAGAAAAAAATTTATCTTTATGAATAAGACAAGACGTTTGACTATGGCTCCACTGATAAGGTGATGATCAGATGTTAAGTTTTTAATGAAAGCTGAAGTAACCTTAAATATGAATGTAAGGAAAAGCTAGAGTACATTTATATAACAAATATATTAGCGAGATATTTGATACCGGTGATTAGAGTATTTTCGAATGTAATCTATACGAGATTAAAAGTAGCCGTTAGCAGCTTCCTTACGTAGGATAGGAGATACGTAACTCGTATAAATGTACACCCATATATAATATTCATCACGGGAGTGAAACAAGAACTAATAAGTATATATTAGGTCGCGAGAAGTGGCTTCCTACAGTACACTATGGCTGCAAGGGCAACCTGGGAAACAATGTAATTACCTTACATAAATAACTTTAATCGAGACTGAAAGCCTACTAGTCATTTTGTGACACGTATTAAGTTTATATTATTTAGACGTCCATTTACTAGACCGTGTAGCACGTGATTGCGATAAATGTAGTGTTTAAGCTCCGATACTCTGAAACTGGTAAACCTTAATCAAAAACTGTTTTAATAGAAATCCACTTTTCACAAAGGCTTTTTTGAATTTATAGTTGACCATTAAACATGACCGTTTATGGTTCCTTTACCTAAGAACTAGCTAGTTTTCAAGTATTTATGATCCAGATATGGTATCGTCGTCATATCAAATCCGCGGCAGATCTCTATTTGACGCACCCCCGATTTAGGCAACTTAGATTGTAAGATACGTCTCCAGTTGCTACCAGCGGCCGCGTGCAAATTTCTAATTGCTATAACGACTCGGTCAACAACACTTGACACGTTTGGAGGTGCTCCGAGATTTCCTGTTTGAGACACTGACGCCCTACTCTTTATTTATTTATTTATACTTTATTGCAACCTTTAAATAAAATGCATTATAAGGGGCGAATTTAATGTCTTTTGGCATTCTCTTTCAACCAGGGTGTACTTTTGGTCTACTTTTACTATGGTCATTTATCGTGTAAGCCGTCAAAAACAAGCCCGAGCTCGTATATTCGAGAATAATTTTATATTACATTAGTTCTCCACGGATTCACGTGTCGACGTTTCAGCGCCGAAGGCTCACTTACGCTACAATGCGCTATACAGGTTGTATGTATTGGTCTTACATTTTTTCTTGGGGTGTTGGAGTTATGGCCGATGAATAAAACCCGAAACTGAAACTATTACCCAACCGAAATCAATCTTAAGGACTTCTTTGTACTTATTACTCGGAGGATTTGTTTTTTATTTGTACTGGTATACGGTTGCCGGTCAAAAAATAATTATTTTTTATTTTTACAGCCAGTCTGCATTCAATGAGAAGTTTTTAGACAATTTATCTATTAAACTCACATTAAAGTCAACATGATTGTTTTAGTCTAAACCAGTGATTCTCAACCTTTTTTTTGTTGCGGCACATATTTAACGATTTCAAAATTTGGCGGCACACAAAGAAAAAGATACAAATTATTTACTTACTACAACACACTGCATAAATAGTTTATGACAAAAATTTTAAATATACGAAATAAGCTAATATATACTACAATAATAACTAAACGTTTATTAAAGGATTAATTACAAGCTAATAATAAAAATATTTTTAAAGCGAAATTTGAGCTTAATGTTTTTTGATAATTTCATTTATATTTGGTCGTAAAAATGACAATGCTACTCTCATATCGTCTTCTACATGTAACAATCTTGATCTTTTTTTATTTTTAATGTTGGCTAATGCCAAAAAATATATTTTTTTAAATGATATAATTTAATAATATTAACATTATTATATATTTGAAAAATTTGGCGGCACACTTTTAAAATTTGGCGGCACACAAAAGTGCCGCGGCACAGTGGTTGAGAATCACTGGTCTAAACACACGTTTCTAAAACCCAATCTGCTACAGTGGCTGAAAATCTTCAAGTTTACTCACGAGTAGGGTGTATAACCATCCTTTAAAACAACATTACTCGGCAAAGATTTTGAGAGTGTTTTTGTTCGCTCATAAAAGAACATTCATTTGCGTTTTAAGTTCTGTATCATCTGTATCTGTGTCCATAATTTTGTAATGTGAGTGTAATGTTCAGTTTGTGATCCTGAATAAATAAAAAAAGATATTTCCATAGTATTGCAGTGGTGTCATATCATCACATTTTACAAAAAAAACAATTAGGCTCCTCCTACTCGGGAGTTTTTCATTTGGGCCAATGGAGCCATGAATCTAACAAAGCTTGTTAAACTTAGTACTTAGTACTCCCGGCATCCGGGAGTTCCCAGCATCCATTGTGGTTCTAAAAATAAAATATTTTTTTCCTATCAAGAGAGATTTGAAGGTTCCGTTCTAATCCGATATATAAAGGTATGTATACCTTTATATACTAGAATCTTCGCACTACACTCAACCCTACAATGTATACATTATACGTCCAGAGGTCGGTAAGTCCAGCTTTTTGGGTCCACGCTGGATTGGTTAACACAGTCAGGCACCTGAGACACTGCTGCCTGTCATTATATATATTTGGTAGATCAAGTTTTTTCAGATCGTTACGCCGCCATGTTGCCAGCTTTTCTTTCAGACGATGCCTTGTATCACCTCTTATAATTCTGACATATATATTGAAAGTGACATATTAAAATAAATATTGATAGTGACTCACACCTAATACCGCCGCCACATGACTACTACTATCAAATAATGAAACTCGTCACAAACTTCATTAAAAATTGAATCTTAATAGCTCTTAAATGCTAAAAGCAGTAAAAATTTATCGTATTAAGCGCATTCAACCTCAATGCCACGAGGTAATTATTTGGAAGTCCAATCTTTATTGCTTCCTATAAATACGATGCTGTCATAACTCCTGCAATATGAGAAACACGATAGTATTGTTTCTTTTATTGAAACAATATAAGAAACTTGCGACTCGTTATATTTATATACGTAAAAGAAAACTGAAATAACTAATGTTCAAAATCGTATAATTTGTTACATCTTGTTATACGTGGGGCGCACTAAAAGTTTCCGGAATGAATAAGAAAAAATACTATTACAGGTCGAAAATTAATTTATTGTTTCTCAAAATATTCTTCCTTCTCGCAAATCCACTTTTTCAAATGATTAACCCAATTTTGAAAACATTTGTGCCGCTCCTACATTTTTTATACTCTTCGACAGCTACTTCTTGTTATGAGTATTGTTGACCGGTTA